AGACATTACTAACACTTGAAAAAACAACAACAAAAAAAAGCAATTACTGTATCTCCAAGCGTGTAATGACCATGTTAGACACAAGAGTCGCAAATTTCGCTTCATCATCCTTCAATCAAAAGCTGGATCGCAGAGATTATGGCTGTGCTTGGAAAACTAGGGGAAAAACAACACTTTCAGAATTAGAACATAAAAAGACAATTAAACTGCCGCCATTGTTCTCCCGAACAATAAAGTTCCATTTCGGAGAAAACATAAAAGTCATCAGAGAAATATTGAAATAAAATTCGTCAGCTGATCAAAGATTCTTCCCCGGTTCTCTCTCTTCCTTCTGTGGTGGGTGTCTCCTAATAGCCTCTTTGTATTTCCAACTTTCCCTTTTCTTCAGAGTCACAATTCCCCCCCCCCCATTTTTTTTAAAGGGATTAGAAAATGTTTTTATTGATTTCAGAGAGAGGAAGGGAGAGAGGGATAGAAACATCAATGATGACAGAATCATGGATTGGCTGCCTCCTGCACGCCCCCTACTGGGGATGGAGCCCGCAACCCAGCATGTGGCCTGATTAGGAATCAAACAGTGACCTCCTGGTCTCCGGGTCCATGTTCAACCCCTGAGCCATGCCGGCCGGCTCCGCTTCCTCTTTGAATTCCTGTTCTTAGTGGAGAAGGCCTGTTCTAGGCCTGGGGGATTCAGTCCTCAGGGCTCAGAAGCGATGATGAGTCATTAGAGAAGGAAAGACGATACTCCCGGCCGTGGAGAGATGAAGATGATTCCCCCAGCCCCCCTCCCCCCCTCCCCCGTCCGTTCCCCCTTTAAATATTAATGGCGCTGCCCTGGCAGCCTGCGAACGTGACTGGGCTGGCACTGGGCAGAGGCCAGGGGAGCTGCAGGCGCAGTCCCAGGTAAGAGACTCAAGACGTCTTCTCCTTCTAGCCATTACTTGCCCTGCCACCGCCACGCTTGCCAAGGACAGGACACCCATGTGCGTGACAGTAGATTGGCTATACCCTGTGCGGGCATTTCCTGACTTTCCATGCGCTCCCTCGGGTGGGGCGGTGAGGAAGTGCTGAGGGTTCCAATGGGCACCCTGAGTTACGTGGTGGTGTCTCAGAGCAGGTCCATGGACGGCGGCCCTGGCTTTTAACACGCTTACACGGCAGAGGTGGACGAAGCGAGTGGGGGTGGGCCCCGTCATGAGGCTTCACATGTGGCTCAAGGGAGCGGGCACATGGCCGGCACGTCCACGGGGTCACGTTTGGACCATGTTGGCAAAGGGGCACAGGTGGCATGAAAGCCAGCTCGGACTCGGACCCTGCGCCTTCTCTGGGTCTGTGTGTGTGTGTGTGCACGTCTGCATGTGTGTGGTATGTGTGATGTATGTGTGGAGTGTGTGGTGTGTGTGTGGTTTCTGTGTGTATGGTGTGTGTGTTATGTATGGTATGAGTGTGTGTGATGTCAGTGTGTATGGTGTGTGTGTGTGGTGTGTGTGATGTGTGTGGTATGTATGATTTATGTGTGGAGTGTGTGGTATGTGTGGTGTGGTGTGTGTGTGTGTGTGTGATGTCAGTGTGTATGGTGTGTGTGGTATGTATGATGTATGTGTGGAGTGTGTGGTGTGTGTGGTGCGGTGTGTGTGTATGGTGTGTGTGTAGTGTGGAGTGTGTGGTATGTATGATGTATGTGTGATGAGTGTGGTGTGTGTGGTGTGGTGTGTGTGTATAATTTCTATGAGGATAAGGGTCCTTTCAGCTCTCACTTTTGATGGACGTGCACCGTCAATATGACTTTCACTTCAAAAGGACCAGCTGTGGTTACTCTCTGAGGCTGTTTTCATAAAGTCTTTTCACCTCCCCGCCCCCAAAGTGATAGCATTTCTTCTAACTGGTTCTTTGAAAACTCCACTGAATCAAACAGCAGAGTCCTGGCCGGTGGGTTTCAATCACCACTTATCAGACCAGCCCCCACCCTTTCTCAGTCCCCCGAGGGCGTCCTCGCTGCCACCCGCCTGCCAGCAGGGCCGCCGCGCCCCAGGCTCACGAACTGGGGACCCGGGCCGCCCCGCAGATGGCTGCACAGTTCAGGCGTTTAACCGGGGGAGTGATCCCGGAGGTGTGTCTGTCATGGACAAGGTCAAGTTACCCCCCCGACTCCGCCCGCTCAGCTTGGCTATCGCCACCCCGAACTTCGATTTCCCACAGATCAGACAGGGTGAGGGCTGCGTGAGTTACAGTGCAAACCGCGGGGCTCAGCGCCCACCCGGCGGGAAACGCTGCTCTCGGGGGGCGCTCTGAGCGGTTGGAGTTTTTCCGTGTGAGTCACCGTGTGCGTGTGAGGGGTCAGGCCCAGCCACACGCTGCCATGTATCCGGTTCCCGTAGCAGAAGCTTCCAGCCGGGGCAGGTGTTCGGTTACCCGGCGTCTTGAAAGACAGGGCCCGTTTCCGAGCATTCAGGCCGGGCGCCAGGGAACGGGGCCTCCTCTTCGCCTTTCTTCCTGGCTGGGAGCCGCTCAATTCTTGGTCGTGTATAGAGCCCAGCAAGAACGTATTTGCAGGTGCTCCCTCCCGGGTGCTGATTCTGTCCCCTCCCGCCAGCGGGCTCTCATGCTGCTGGGGAGGAGTTTTAGCGCGTCGGGGCCTTCGCACACGCCCGGGCCTCCTGTACGCGGTCGCCCTCCCAATGGAGAGTAATCGTCCACCTAAAGCAGGGAGTCAGCCTCTGCTAGTTCCCGGACCAGAAGTGGACTGGGCCGTGCGCCCGACATCGGGGTCCCTTCTCGCGTCTGCATCTGCAGATGGATTTTAAGTTTCTAAGAAAGCACCTGCGTCCCTCCCAGTGACCAGGAACGTTCCCGAAACTCTTGCCCAAGAAACTCGGAGGCGACTAGAGGCTTCGATCACCAGCCTCACCTTCGCGTCACGAGACGTGGCTCTGAATGCCCAGAAAGCCGAGACAGGAACGTTTCCAGATGATTAATTCATTAATTCATTCAACTAAATTAAATGCGCCTCTCGGAGCAGCGGGCCATGTGTGCTGCCGCGGGCCCGCTGCCGTGACAAGCGGTGAGTTCCACTTTGGATCCCACCCTACACGGCGCTGCAGAGGGGGCCCGAGCTTTCTCTTCCGTCTTTTGAGGCCAGAAACCATGCAGCTTTTAGAAGAGAATTTGTTTTATTATTTTTTAAATTTTTGTTTTATTTTTTAAAATGTTTTTATTGATTTCAGAGAGGAAGGGAGAGGGAGAGAGAGATAGGAACATCAGTGATGAGAGAGAATCATGGATTGGCTGCCTTCTGTACGCCCCCCACTAGGGATCGAGCCCACAACCCGGGCAGGTGTCCTGACCGGGAATCGAACCTGGGACCCTTCAGTCTGCAGGCCGAAGCTCTATCCACTGAGCCACACCAGGCAGGGCTAAATTCCATCTTAGTTGTTAGATTTAGGGACGAGTTGACTGATCCCTGGGGACCTCTCACAGCCACGGTCGTTCTGCATCCACGGGAGCGCGGCCGAGCCGGTTCTGCTCCCACACCCTGCGCTCGTGGAGGCCGCCTCGCTGTTCAGACCTGACGTTTTTCCTGCCAGCCCTTTGGGGTGTTGTGAATGTAAGGAAATGGATGTAGCTGGGCTTTAAGAGAGATGAAGTGGACACTGGTTTTTCTCCCGCCCCCTTAAAATCAATCACATGGAACCCTAATTTAGTTCCCAACATTGCTAGCCCCATATCTCTACTCAGTTAAAGGGTCAGTCAATATTTGCAATTCTTCACGAGACACGATATGACTCTAAGGCAGGGATGGCGAACCTTTTGAGCTCAGCGTGTCAGCATTTTGAAAAACCCTAACTTAACTCTGGTGCCGTGTCACACATAGAAATTTTTTGATATTTGCAACCATAGTAAAACAAAGACTTATATTTTTGATATTTATTTTATATATTTAAATGCCATTTAACAAAGAAAAATCAACCAAAAAAACGAGTTTGCGTGTCACCTCTGACACGCGTGTCATAGGTTCACCATCACTGCTCTAAGGCATCCCCCACAGTGAAATGGCAACTCCAGGACTGTGTGCTGGCGAATGATATTTTCTCTCTTCTCAGCACAGAAAAACAGTGGCCAAAAGCAAGGATGTCCCGCCCCCAAATCAGCCTTTCTTTTCCTTTGCTCCCTTGGCCCCCCTTCTTCCTACAAAACCCGCCCTTGTACCGCCCTCCCTCGGGGCGCCCTGCTGGGTGCCGGATGGGATGCTGCCTCATAGGCATGAGGGGCTTCCTGAAGCTGAGGAGACCTTCACGTTTATTGGCTGAGTTTTGTTTTTAACGCTGCAGGCCTTGTTTAGGTCCCCCCTTCCCCCCCCCCCCCGGCCTGGATTCCAGCTCCCCCTCTTTTTTGAGTCCGTTACCCAGGAGTCTCAGCCAGCCCTTCACTATCATGTGTGATCTTCATGGTGTTTGTGAAAAATTTGAACAAGCCTGGCCAGCATGGCTCAGTAGTTGAGTGTCGACCTGTGAACCAGGAGGTCACGGTTTGATTCCTGGTCAGGGCACGTGCCCAGGTTGCTGGCTTGATCCCCAGTAGAGGGTGTGCAGGAGGCAGCCGATCCATGATTCTCTCTCATCATTGATGTTTCTCTTTCTCTCTCCCTTCTTCTCTGAAACCAATAAAAATATATAATTTAAGAAAAAGAAATTTGAATGAACACTTGTAATAAATGTGATTTCCTCTTCCGGAACAATCTCTAGGAAAGATGGGGCCCAGTGGGTGGACTGGCCCTGCTCCAGAGCCCTCCCCTCGCCGACTGCTCTGAACACGGGTGTGGCATTTGGGGCAGGCAGAGTGGGTGGTCCCGGGTCCTCCGAGAAGCAGGTCGGTGCCAGGAGGGGATGAAATGTACAAGAATGTCACTGGGGGTAGGACTAGTGACAGGACCAGGGAGCCCAGGACTTGTTTTAATCAGACGCGTCCGAACGCAGCCATGGAGAGACACTTGCCGTTCCTACCAGCAGCCGGCCTCGCGCACGGGCCGCCCAGCGCGGCTTCGCATCCTGCTGAGATGCGCCCGCTGCTGTGCTGGGCTCTCCGAGGCGCGGCCGTGAGCACACGTCAGCTTCCTGGGCAGCCGCCTGTCCGCTGGCTGAATCCCACACATGCCATCCGAGGGTGACATGTCTCCAGACTGAGGTAGGGAAGCTTTTTCTAAGCACTTCGAACAAGGTGCGTTGCTACCAAAGTCCAAATTGTGAATGTTGCGTGATCATGAGGCGACATTACAATGAGGCACCATTTGGCCGGTGACATTGGCGTCTCCCTGAGGTCGCGTCCTCTCCCACCTCCTGTGGGACCTGCACTTCCTCTGGAACGTGTCCGGGATCCCGGCACTGACAGCCACCCCGGATTAAGCATCTTCTGGATTATTTCAGCTGACCTCCACGTTTGCCCCTCCAGGCTACTTTCTTTAAAAAATATTTTTATTGATTGATTTGAGAGAGAGAGAGGAAGGGAGAGAGGGAGAGAGGAGCCGATTTGTTGTTCCACTTACGGTGCCTTCACTGGTTGCTTCTTGTATCTGCCCTGACCGGAGATCGAACCCACAACCGTGACGTATCGGGATGATGCTCTAACCAACTGAGCTATCCGGCCGGGGATGTACCTTCCTGAAGGAAAGAAAAAAAAAATACGTGCTTAGCATTTTTATGGAATAACAGTCTATTATAACCCTTGGCAATGTGTTAGCATTCTCAGGAGTTTCAGCAATGTCTTAACTTCAACAAGCCTTTCCTGTGATGCTTCCACATGACGGCAATAACGTGAAGGCGTGGGTCCCTTTGGTGTCTATATTAATATATTTTTAAAGGAGCTGGTGGTCTCTACTCTTATTCAAATGCCATTATGGATGCTTGAAAAGTCATCGTCATAAATCCCTCAGCCATCATTGGCTCTCCATGTACCAGACTCCGTGTTCTGCTAACCTTTCTGGGCAAATGTCACTTTTAACCCTTTAAGCATGTCCTTGGGACCCTTCGGGGCAGAGGGATCCTGAGCCCACAGATGGTCTCACCAACGAGGCCTGGAGAGAGGCCATGCATTTGCCCGGAATGTAATTGCTAAAGGGAGGAACCGGTTCCTTTCCTTCCGCAAATAGAGCCCACAGGGCCCCGAAGCCACGGGTTTTGAGAAAGCCTGGCGCGGAAGAGCAGTTGTCGAAGAAAGAGATAATGGCAATGCGTCCAATGGCAAGAAAAAATAATTGCATATTTCCGTTTGCTGACGGAGGGGAGAGCCAGGCTGCTTATGCAAAGCGTTTTTCAGATCTATGCGCCCTCCCTCTCACCCCAATCAGGCTCTCTGACTAGAATCAGCTTAATTTCTCTAACCCTTCTAGGAGATGAATACCTGCGAGGACTCGGATTTTTTTTTCCTTCCTGACAAGACGATACTGTAGCTTTAATTGTGCGTGGAACTGGGAGGTTGTCATGGAGATGAGATCTGTGCGGGGCTGCTCCACTTCTCTGGCCTGGTTCTGCGCCTCGAGTGGGAGGTTCCATTGTTCCGGGAGCTGGGTGTTTCCTTCCGCAGATCAAGCCCGTTCGCATGTTGAAAAGCGGGTTGTTCCCGGCCCGTGTCGCCCTTCATTCAACCAGGAAGGGCGCTCGAAGCGCAGACAGGGAGGACTCGGGAAGAGCGTTTGTGGCGATGCTGCGGGGCCCAGGAAGGGGTCCTGCGGCCGCAGGTTCTGCACACGCTCTGGCTGCGGGAGGAAGCGTCCGCCCCCTGGCGGCGGAGGGGAGCAACTACGCCCGCGAACCCGTCCTTCCTGGGACTGAGGCTGCACGGGGTTCAGGGCTCCAGTGACACCGCGCCTCTCCATGCCGCTGCCTGGAACAGGCTGAAGGCGCAGCTCAAACGCCCGCGCCCTGGGGAGCCTTGCTGACACTCCGCACGGGGAGAAGGGCTCCTCGGGCTCCCAGGGCGTCGGTTCTTACCGCGGGGACAGTACCAATGACCCGATATCCTGTCTGCGGGTCGGAGCGCGCGCCCCTCTTCTGCCCGGTTAAGCGGTTCCTCTAGGAACCCGCCTTCCCGCTGGGGCGGGGGGGTAGTGGTGGTCTCAGCAGGGATACGAAGGATCCCGGCACAGGTTCGCTCAGTGAGGGACTGGCGGCCCCGACCTTCCGCCTCCCCGGGATCCTGCGCCTCTTTCCTCGCTTTATTCCCCGACCTGCTCCTGGGCACATCCCCAGCTGCCCCCGCACAGCCTGGCACAGGTGGTCCCCGCGCCTGGAGCCAGGGCCCGCCCTCCCCTTTTCGCCTGTGGACACGGAGGCGCCACGGGGCGCCGGTTCTGAAGTCCCGGTGACCCTCCTGCTGCCCTGCGACGGGTAACACGCCCATTCCCCGCGCTGTGCTCTGCAGATTTCATGGCTCAGGGCAACTGCCACTCATCCCTGCCTCCGCCCACCCGGCGTGGGAGGCCTTCCCAGGCGGTGGCCGCACCTGCTTTGCTCAGTGGGTAACCTCTAGGGCTGAAAAAATGTCTGGCTTAATTATTAACTACAATGAAGTTCAAGATTTGCTCATAGTGACTTTTTAATTTATTTATATATATTTTTTATTGATTTCAGAGAGAGAGAGAGAGAGAGAGAGAGAGAGAGAAACATCAATGATGAGAGAGAATCATGGATCGGCTGCCTCCTGCGCGCACGCCCCACACTGGGGATCGAGCCCCCAACCCTGGCAGGTGCCCTGACCGGGAATCCAACCTTGACCTCCTGGTTCATAGGTTGATGCGCAACCACTGAGCATGCCAGTCTGGCCATAGTGACTTTTTTATATTTATTTACTTTTTAAATTTTTAAAAATATATATTTTTATTGATTTCAGAGAGGAAGGGAGAGGGAGAGAGAGATAGAATCACCAATGATGAGAGAGAATCATCGGTCAGCAGCCTCCTGCACATCCCCTACTGGGGAACAAGCCTGCAACCCCAGCATGTGCCCTGACCAGAATTGAATTATGACCTCCTGGTTCATAGGTCAATGCTCAACCACTGAGCCACACCGGCTGGGCTTATATTTATTTTAATTGACATGTAGCATGGTGTATGTTTGGGGTGTACAGTGTGTTGATTTGATGTTTATATTTTGCAATCTTATTACCACTGTAGAGTTAGCTAACTCCTCTCTCAGGTCACATGGTATTCATTTCTTTTTGTGGTGGGAATAATTAAGATCTAGTCTCTTAGCAACTCTGAACTGTACAATACAGTGCCGTTGTCTATAATCATGAAGCTGTGCGATAGATCACTAGGACTTATTTATCCACTGGTTGCAAGTTGGTTCCCTTAAAACCATCTCCCCCACCTCCAACCCCTGGCAACCAGGATTCTACTCTGTTTTTCTGGATCTGGCTTTTTAAAAATTCCACATGTAAGTGATATGCAGTGCTTGTCTCTCTCTGGCTTATCGCACAGAGCATACTGCCCTCAAGGTTTACCCCAAGATTACATTGTTTGAAATGTTCTCCCAAAATAATTGTCACAGAGGAGTGATAAAGTCAGTTGTAGACAGGAAGCCTGAGATAAAGGTTAGCTTCCATCACTACTAGCTCACACCAGTTGGTGGAAATACCAGTTTTAGTTCAAAGTAATTTTTTAAAAAATTAGTAAAATCTCAGGGAAATATTTAAAAACTAGAGGCCTGGTGCATGAAATTCATGCACTCGGGGGAGGGAGGTCCCTCAGCCTGGCTTGTTCCCTCTCACAGTCCAGGAGCCCTCGGGGGATGTCTGACTGACTGTGGACCTCCAGGGGAGTGGGCCTAAGCAGTCAGTCAGACATTCTTAGTGCTGCTGCAGAGGCAGAAGAGGCTCCTGCCATTGCTGTTGCACTTGCCAGCCGTGAGCCCGGCTTCTGGATGAGCAGAGCTCCCCCTGTGGGAGGGTACTAACCACCAGGGGGCAGCTCCTGCATGGAGCATCTGCTCCCTGGTGGTCAGTGAGTGTCATAGCAACCGGTTGTTCCACCACTCGGTCAATTTGCATATTAGCCTTTTATTATATAGGATGTTGCCTCTCTAGTGTTTACTGATACATGTGGGCAGCTCACCGATGATGGCATTTTGAGGGCCCTCTTGTGGGAAAGGCAGTGGTTTCCGTTATCTAGGGATGGTCGGCTACGGGGCAGAAGTCCTAAATCCACAGAAAATGCCTTACTGTTGCCACACTTGGCATCACTGCTCATGTCACTGAATGCAGCAGGTCCCTTTCATGACTGATGGCTCGATGAGGAAAGGAACTAGGGAAAACGCTGCAGCGTTCCAAGAAATGAAAAAGCAACCTCCTAGAAAAACCGCAATCCATTTATTCCATACGTTGCTCATGCATCGCGATGGAGCAAACTTTCCACGATGTCAGGTTTCTCCGAACCTTTTCCATCATCAGACCAACCCCAGGTGAAACATCGCAAGAAAACCGCCTTCGCCAGAGAAAATGGAGGCCCCTTGGCATTCAGTAGGATGAAGGGATCATGTGCTTTTTCTTGAGTGTCATTTATTCATTTTAAAATAAGTTTAATTAAGAAACAAACCTCCAACAACGATGAACCCTGAATATGTTAAATATGCCACTGTGTTTAAACGGTTCTTAGCGCCATTCAAGGCCTGCACTGATGAAATGCGTGTCTGGAGGAGCCGTCTGTAGGTGGGTGTGGGGAGAGTCGGCGCGCGTGCCCCCGTTGGAGGAAATATTCCCCTGGCGACGAGTATTCATCTATTTGTCTCCCGGTTCTCTGGTCTGTCTTCGTGGAAATGTGTTATCACCGCGATGCTATCTCCACTGTTATTTACAAAAACGATGCTGCTGGCTGCTCTCGGAGGAGGCAGACAGCTGCACTGCCGAACTCGTGCTTCTGAATCACAATGAGGGGTCCCAGCCCTGTGTGGTTTTCTGTTCTTTCCTCTTTACCGTCTCCCCTGTGAATGCAGAGATGAGAGGAAGAACCCAGAGTCCTTTCCGAGAGAGATGAAGCCAGAGGAGTAAGCAGGAAGATGACCGGGCAGGACAGGGTAGCTTGGACATGTCACCATTCCGTGTCATCTGCTACTTGTGAGAAAGACACATCAATTGATTGCCACTAGCAGGCACCCCAACTAGGGCCTGGGAACGAACTTG